TGCTTGCACATGAGAAATGAAAAAACACACTGCTCAGAACATGATAGTGCTTCCGATTCGCGAGCATCGAGACTCGGCCATGCTTCAGCTCTACAATGCGGCGGCGCCTGAACTCCTTGGTGGTCTGCACCCTAAGAAAGCAGCACTAGGAAAAAAGTGAACACGCAACAGCCGAAGGAAAAGATTGTTCGAGAGCAGCTCTCATCTCACAGAATCACACATCTTGCAGCCTCAGCACCTTTGCGTCGCCATCGGAAGTGAAGCCTACCAAGCAATTTCCAAGGGACCGCTCAACATCAACTATGCATCAAGCCCTTTCAAGCCCTAGCCCCGAAGCAAAAGCAGCTGCACCTGCAGGGTCCCAAAAGCCGGTGGGAGCCTGCACGCCAAGCTCGTTTTCCTGGCCAAGAGACATTGAGCACAAATGCAAAACCTGACTTGGTCAAAGCCAGCTGCTGTAGTCAAGGCACAAATGCGCGAACAGCTACGGTTGCCGTAGTGCTGCGTGTGGTAGGGCGCTGCATTGTCACAAGCGCACCCAAAGCAATGCCTGGCTCAAACATGTCTTGCCGCAATGCCGATTCGCTCTGTGGGGAGAGAGCGGGTTTCGGGTTCAGCATTGAAGGTCTGGAGTTAGCGTTGTGGGTAGACAGCTTGCTTTCAGTTGCTTTTGTTGATCAGGATGAAGGTGTCCAGACTTAGGCCAGTGGGGTTGAGAATTCAACACTTCACCTGCAGGGCAAAGGGTTCATTGACGGTTGAAGGTTTTGAGATGTTCTGCGCTTGAGGGGTAGTCAAGAAGGCGTCACAACTTCACTTTCTTTCCCACTGTTGAAGGCTAGAAAAGCAAAGGGACTCAAAGCGTCAATCTGAGAACAAGCTGAGCCGTAGTTGAGAGCATGGTCCTTCTGAAGTCTCTGGAAGAGACGCTCAGAATGCGCGGTGCAAATACTGCAAGCTACAAGCTCATCCCGACATCTCGAATGCCTGTGCCCGCGCTCAGCAATGTTGTCGCCGAGATCCCCTTCAGAACACAGCGTCGAGGAGCGTGCAGGGATACCAAGATGCAACTCTGTGTCTGCTCTTCTTTGGCGGCCTGTGGCTGCACATTGGCCCTGTTGGCCCTGCCAGCGCCACGCAGTCCGGAGTTGCTCGGCGCCTTTCAGCTCAGGAGCTCTGCGTGAGCCGCGCAGTGTGCATGCTGCGTTGCTATGGAGTCACATCGAAAGCGGTTGCGCGCCTGCGCAGATGGGGTCACAAAAGCGGCGGAGGCTGCGGCCTCGGCACAAGCTGAGCTCATCATGACAACGCAAGGGGCCCCTGATGCAGGACCATGCAAGACCCACCCTTCGCGCACTCGCGTTGCTCGACTCTAAGTTTTTGAAGAGGCACGGCGGCGAGGCCGAGGGCAGCGACCTTAGACTAGAAGCAAGAATGCAGATGCGCAGCACACCAGATCTAATAGGATCCAGAAACTTTCAAAGCAACCAAGTCACTTCCTTGCTTGGTGCCATTGTATAAGAGGTAGTGAAACACCGGCGAGGCGTGGGATAATAAAAAGAAGCCCTGTGTGCCAAAATGGCTTCGGACTGTACATGAAGTTGTCATGAGCTGGCCGCAGGTCAAAAGCCTTTCTTGCCGTGGAACTCAGATAAGAAATGGTGCTCCAGTCAGCCACCCCACATTCTCCATTCTCATGTGCGCGCGTGTCATGTCTGTCAGCAAGCTACAGCCATGAAGCAGCCTCCTTGCTGAAATTCTAGGTCTGCGGGCGAGTAGCGTCTCGATCGTAGGTTTCCATCCATACTTGTGCGAAGTGCAGTTTGGTTTGGCCTCATGCGTGCTGCGCAGCGCAGAGGATCCCATGCCAGTTGAAGGGTTGCAGATATTATGGAACTCAAAGACTGCAAGACAAAGACACTGAGGCCATGTACGTCGCATGCCTGCTAAGATATCAAGCCAAGGCGGCGTGCTGCTTGTTAATTACAATACTGCAATACAAGCTTGCTGGTCTGGCTTCATTGAAAGGCTGGAACTGCTCTGATGCAGGTAAGGCACGTAGCGCTGCTGAGGCAGCAGCCTACAAAATTTGGAGCTTTACTCGGCCGGGTCAGGTGTCTTTAATTTCCTTGAAAGGCCGCGCCTATGACGGTGCATCAACCGATGGCGGTCATTGATGAACTCGAAGTCCTGACAATCATGTTCTTGGTATTTCTTGATAATCCTAGTTTCCTAGGAAAGAAAGCTGAAATAGCATCCTCCTTGGGCGCGGGGGGCGGCCACTTTGAAGCCCCAGGGCTTGCCGAATTCAAGACCTGCCCAGCACAAAAGGACAATCAAGGAGCGCAGAGGTTGCATCTCCCAACGAGCAGCGAGCAAGTGCCTCCTTCCCCGCACTGGCCAGGCTGGGCGCAGAGGCCGACTTCATGGCCTCAGCCTGGGCGGCCTGCGCGGCCTGGCTGGATGATTGCAGGCTTTGGTTTTTCATTCTGACACCCCAAATAAACACTTGCGCGAGTCTGTGCAAAGATGCGTAGAAGCCCGACATCACCAAACAACGAATGCATCAGAGCAAGGATTAGCCTCCTTGCGCATCTCTGAGCGAAGTCGCCTCTTCGGAGCCTCCCAAGACCAGGCGACTCCAATTGTTGCTACACTACCCATGGCTGATGGAAAAAAATCATCGTGCGGCACTGAAGAGCTTGGTAGGAACCCAGAGTGCTGCAAGTTGTTTTCCATCCCTGGTGTCGCTACAGGTACTTCATGGGTTCAGCACATGGACCGTCGCTGCCAAGGCTCGTATTGAACATTAACCGTAATATCCTTTTTTGCATTTACATACTTCTATAGGCTGCATTTCCGGCCGCACAGTAGACAGTCTTCCGGTATTGGATGAGCAGAACGTGCGCGTGTGACTTGAAGTTTTCACCTGTAGTGTCAGGTCCTGACCCCCAAAACTCCTAGACGGGTTTTGCATGCCCTTCGTTTTGTAGGGCTCGATCTTAATCCTGTGGATAGACTGCACCCTAGGTTGTCCCTTCAGCTCTTAACGACTTAACGTCTTGTACTGTCTTCCCGTCCTATTTGAGCATTGTTGTTTTTTAAGGTTAAAGTCTTTGTACTAAGAGAGTCTGCCTACGCGAACTACGCGGATTGCTGTCTTCCCTGCAGAACAGACTACGCGAACACACTCTTGCTATCGTGCTGCCTACGCGGACTACGCGGCATTCCTAGGCTATTGACAATTCTATGCAGCACGAAC